GCTGGGAAGTTTTATAATGGCCTTAATGAGCCCACTACCTTCAGCTGGGCTCATTACCTCAGTGCTGAAGAACTCAGCACTTCCCTCTAGTGGAACAAATCCCCATAGAGTCTAAACCTTGGACAAATGTATCGTCCATCCAGGACGCAACCAGGTGATTTCACCTGCCTACTGTCACATAACCCCCCCTCTTGTTTCAACCTTGGGGTTGTAACACCAGTAGTCAGGCAGGCATGAACCCGGGATAAAGCATCCACATTTCCCATCTGACTCCAGGGTAATTGCTTTACCATGAAGTTAAATTCTTGTATGGCCAGGAACCACCTATTTACCCTTCTATTGGTCTCTTTATTTTGAGCAATCCATTTCAAGGGAGCGTGATCCGTGACCAGGTCAAAATGTCTGCCTAGCAGATAGTACCGAAGTGAATCTAGAGCCCACTTTACTGCTAAACACTCTTCCTCAATCGTGGCATAATTATCCTTGTGAGATTTTAGCTTTCTGCTGAGGTAGATTACCGGGTGCTCCTCCCCCTTCCAAACCTGGGACAACACTGCTCCTAAGCCAACATCAGACGCATCCGTCTGGACCACAAAGTCTTTTGAGAAGTCTGGTGAGTATAGCACTGGCTGGCTACATAAGGCCCTTTTTTAAGACTGGAAGGCTGATTCAGCCTCTGGGGACCATTTAACCATGACCGACTCCTTCCCTTTTGTCAGGTTGGTTAGGGGTACTGCCAGAGAAGCAAAATGGGGAATAAATCGCAGACAGTAGCCAGCAATTCCTAGAAAAGCCCATACCTGCTTCTTGTTATTTGGGCGTGGCCAACTCTGTATGGCTTCAACTTTGTTGATCTGGGGTTTTATTACTCCTCTCCCAATAGTGTACCCAAGGTACTTGGCCTCTTCCTGTCCAATATTACACTTCTTTGGATTGGCTGTAAACCCAGCTTTCCGTATTGAGTCTAGTACAGCCTGAACTTTTGGTAAATGTGAGGCCCAATCTGCGCTGTGGACAATCAAATCATCCAGGTAAGCTGCAGCATACTTCTGATGGGGGCGAAGAATTTGATCCATTTTGCGCTGAAAGGTGGCCGGTGCATTCTGTAACCCGAACGGCATTCTTCTATACTGGAATGACCCGTCCGGGGTTACAAATGCAGTCTTCTCCTTTGCTGACTTAGCTAAGGGAATCTGCCAATAACCTTTTGTCAAATCGAGCGTTGTCATGTACCGGGCTGCTCCCAGTCGGTCGATTAGTTCATCTATCCTTGACATGGGGTAGGTGTCAAATTTTGTAACTTTATTTATCTGTCGAAAGTCGTTACAAAATCGCCAGCTCCCATCTGATTTGGGCACCAACACTATGGGGCTGGACCAGTCACTCTGGGACTCCTCTATCACCCCCAAATCCAGCATTCTCCGTACTTCCCCACGTATTGCCTCCTGCCGGGCCTCTGGGATTCTATAGGGTTTTAGTTTTACCCTTTCACCCGGTGGGGTGATAATGTCATGCTCCACCCCCGAGGTTTGTCCCGGCAGCTCAGAAAAAACGTCTGTGTTGCGGAGCACGAACTCTTTAGCTTCCTGTTTTTGAGTTGTAGACAGCATGACTGCTATTCCAACCTCCGGAACCAAGCAGTCAAATGGCGCTGGTGACAAAGCCTCAGCAACTAGGGATTCCCTGTCCCTCCAGGCCTTTAACAGATTAATGTGGTAGATCTGTTCAGGTTTTCGCCTTCCTGGTTGTCTGACCCTGAAATTCACCTCGCACACTCTCTCAATTACCTCGTATGGGCCATGCCATTTGGCCAGGAATTTGCTTTCAACCATAGGGATTAGCACTAGCACTCTTTCTCCTTCGGCAAACGACCTGGTCTGGGCCCCCCGATTGTACACCCTCTGCTGCGCTAACTGTGCTTGGGCCAAATGTTCCTTTACGATAGGCATTACCTGTATGTATGTATATATATATATATATATATATACAGTTTATATAGCAATAAACAAAAAAAAACCAAAAGAACCCCCCTAAATATAGTTAAACCACCTTATTGATCCTAATTTGCGCAGTATCTGTGTTTTTTTCTTTTCTTTTATGCCAAGTTGCTCCAAATTACTCCCAGTACTCTGTTACCCCAAGCCACTTCCAGCACCCCAAGTTATCCCAATATACTCTTAGTATTACAGATTTCCTCATAGTCATCCAGGTTACTCCTTGTACCTCAAATTTATTCCCAGTACTCAGAAATACTTCCAAGTACTCCAGAATGCCCTGAGCTACCCCAAGTCACTCCCAGCACCCCAAGTTATTCCCAGCACCCCAAGTTATTCCAGTACTCCAAGATACTTCTAGCTACTCCAAAATAGTCCCACATACTTCATGTTACTGCCACATACTTCATGTTACTCCCAAGTACTCCAAGGCACTCCCAAGTATTATGTCCTGCTTCCACACTCAGTGCGCCTGCAGCTCCTTTCAGTGTCAGTGTGCTGGAGCTCTTCCTGTCAGTCAATCAATCCTCCCGTTAGTGTCCTCCTCCTGACTCTGTAAACCTTTTCACCAGCTTACCACCTCCCCCTTTCAGTGTATCTGGCTCTGTCACTTCTTCTCCTTTAGCAGCCATTCTCCCCTGCTCTCCCGCTTTGAGGAGCCTGCCTTAGAATTTTCCTCCTCCTACCCACAGCATCCAGCTCCCAGTGAGGTGATCTGGCTGTGGAAAGCACTTTGTGTCTGGATGCAGGGTGAAGCAAGGGGAGACCTGGGCAAAAATACAAGTGGCTTGTCTAGTGGTAGTGCTACACATGTATAGCTTAAGAGAGCATGGGGGATAACATGGCTGTATGGGACCTGTCTACTCTCCCCTTTAGTTAAGGAGATACAGAAAGTGTAGTTATGTCTGCTAGTGGCTATAAACAATCTTCCCCTATATGAAGGCTCTGTGCCTGGGACAAAGGTGGATTTGTAAATCACATGCAATGTCAAGCTGTGGTGCCATTTTGGAGAAAGTTAATTGATAAACAATGTTCAGCTATGGAGTGTCTCTGATCCTGGAAGTTGCTATCTTGGGTGAAGGACTACAAACCCCAGCCTACCCACAGCTGATGGGTTGCTGTATAGCACTCCTTAAAAGTGATTATTTGTGAATACCCTACCGCTTCATTTAGGGGCCGAACCAGAGCAATGTACTGTGAGAGATGATAAAATGTGTTATTACCCCTAACATTAGAGACTCAGAACCTGTGGTGTTTTTCTGCCAAGGAGGGGTCTGTTTTCCATGTCAGTTACCCCCTTCCCCCCCAGTTTGGGAAAAGAGTGCCAGGACGGGATGTCTAAGCCAGCCAATGTAGTTCACATTAAGCTAGCTAGTCACTGCTAGGTGATACTGTTAAGTAGCACTTGTAGCTGCCTGCATGCGGATAAGAAACTGACTCTAGTATTCTGACTTTGCCCAGGCTTAGTAAATTGTTGTGCTACACATTAGAGAATATAAATTACTATACCTTTGAAGTGTGTTGTTTGATGTTCCTACTTTATATCTTCCATTGGTGTTGTTGAATTATTGCTTAATAATTTGTACAACCTATTAATTCACATAAAGACCTTCAAGGTAAGTTGGGGAGGATGGTGTCCGCTTATATAGTCATGGGCTCTGGGACAGGGGACCTGAAAAAATAGTAGTTCCTTTGTGGTAAGCACTACAAAAGGTTTTAGGGTTTGGTGCAAAGCAGATGGGTTTGAGAATTTGGAGAACTGTGACTGCTATATTTCAGCTGTCTAAAGACCATTTAGTAGGAACATATACAGTAAATGGGAAAGCTGCTTCAATGCTGGGTAAAAATTGTTTAGAGAATAATGGAGATATATACTATATTGACCCACCCTTTGCAGCTATAACAGCTTCAACTCTTATGGGAAAGCTCTCCACACAGTTTAGGAGTGTGTCTATGGGAATGTTTGACCATAATTCCAAAAGCGCTGTAAGGGACCGCCTGACAGCACCTCTATCAGTCCCCCGGTAGAGCCTCCCCAGCGTGCGGAGTCTAAGCACCGGAGCACTTGTTCACCAGGGCCCCTGATGGTGGGGATGGACTTGGAGTGCTCCGGTACCAGGTCGCAACTACCAGGTATCTCCAACAGGGGTAGAGGACTCTGACAGGGGCTCCAGAGAGCTAGGAGTCTGATGTAAGGGAGCCTAGTGATCCCTGCGGGGTGGATGGATGGATGAGCTAAATCAGAGTCATGCAGGCCGGGATGGTAACTAGAGGATCGGTAAGGTACAAAACGGTAGGCAAAGGATAGTCGGGTCACACGCAGGGTCAATACCAGGAGGTCAGATCTAAACGGGAACATCCGGGAGCAGAGTCAGGCAAGCCAAGGGGTCAGGACGGGAGAAGGCAACAAGGTCAAAACAATCCAGATCAGAAGTACTCACACACAGGTAACAGGATACAAAGACCATTCGGCAACAAGTGTCTGTGCAGGGCTAGCTTAAATAGCCCGCCCTGCACCTGACAGGCGTAGCCTGGGTCCCAGTGCCTGCCTAGTACTGTCCAGACGACGGGTGCACCTGGGTCCTAGTGCCCTGCCACCTATACGTCTCGGCAGACACCTACGCATGTGTAGACCCATGCGTCGCGATGGTTCCTGACAAGCGCATTTGTGAGGTCAGGCACTGATGTCGGACGAGAAGGCCTGGCTAGCAGTGTTGTCTGCTCTAATTCATCCCAAAGGTGTTCTTTTGGGTTAACATCAAGATTCTGTGCAGGCCAGTCAAGTTCCTCCACCCCAAACTCGCTCATCCATGTCTTTATGGACCTTGCTTTGTGCACTGGTGTGCAGTCATGTTGGACAGGAAGGGGCCACTCCCAGACTGGGCCCACAAAGTTTGGAGCATGAAATTGTCCAAAATATCTTGGTATGCTGGCACCTTAAGAGTTCCTTTCACTGGAACTAAGGTTGAAAAACAACTCCACACTATAATACCCCTCCACCAAATTTACACTTGGCACAATGCAGTCAGGCAAGTACTGTTCTCCTGACAGCCACCAAACCCAGACACGTCCATCGGATTGCCAGACAGAGAAGCACGATTGGTCACTCCAGAGAATACAACTCCACTGCTCTAGAGTCCAGTGGCAGCGTGCTTCATACCACTGCATCCGATGCTATGCATTGCACTTGGTGATGTAAAGCTTGGATGCAGCTGCTCGGCCATGGACACCAAAACAAGCTCTCTATGCACTGTTGTGCTAATCTGAAGGCCACAGGAAGTTTGGAGGTCTTTAGCTATTGACTCTGCAAACAGTTTGTAACTTCTGCACACTGTGCGCTTCAGCATGTGCTGACCCCACTCTGCCATTGTTCCTAGTTGCTTTCCCTTTGTTATATCACCACTAACAGTTGACCGTGGAATATTTAGTAGCAAGGAAATTTCACAGATGGCCTTATTGCACAGGTGGCAACCTATTACAGTAGCACGCTTCAATTCACTGAGCTCCTGAGAGCGACCCATTCTTTCACAAATGTTCATAGAAGCAGTCTGCATGCATAGGTGCTTGATTTTATACACCTGTGGCCATGGAGGTGATTGGAACATCTGAATCCAATGATTTGGAGGGGTGTCCCAATACTTTTGGCAATATAGTGTATTTTAGCACTCAGGAGATCTAATTGGTGGATGTAGGTAGCAAAGCTAGAAAGTGGACTATATCCTACATCCAAATGATATCAAACATGCATCTGATACCAACCCCAAAAACCCTGACAAGGAAATATTACAGTATCTGCCATAATGGTTATCACATTGTCTGTCATTTGTCTATGCTATCTAATAAATCTATGTTCCTTTTTATTCTTAAACTACTTAATCATTTTTTAGAAACTCATGCCATTATTCTGGAATGTGTTTAAATGAACCTGTGAACTTTGTGTTATTCTGCAGGTAAAAGATATAATTTTCTAAAGTAGATGTATTTGGTTTTTCAAGGACATAATTTACTTTAAATGTATGTGTAAGTCTACATTTAGGAATATGCACCTCCATATACTGTAAGAATATACGCTTCCATCATGCAATGTGAGTAAATAACCCCTTTACGCCGCCACCTCCTGGCCCTTTAAGAGGTTCTGAATGCTGGGAGGTGGAGATGGGCATTCCAATCATATGACCACTGTGATTGGCAGTCACAGTGTCCAAGTGGTTATCATTTCTGCCTAGCAGGAATAGGGTTGTTGGTTCAAATCCTAATCAGCACTATCTGGCTGGAGCTTGCATGTTCTCCCTGTGCCTGCGTGGGTTTCTTCCAGGTACTCCAATATAGGTTAATTAACTCCTGTCTAAATTGGCCCTAGTATGTGTATGTATGAATGAGAGTTAGGGAACTTGTAGAGATTGTAAGTTCCTTGAGGGCAGGGACTGATTGCATCTATAGTGAATGTATAATATATATGTAGTGCTTCCCTTGGAATAACCACTTGTATTTTTTTGCCCAGGTTTCCCCGTTTCTTCACCCCGCAGCCAGGCACAATGTATTTTCCACAGCCAGGTAAACACACTCTTTTGCTTGTTGTCTTCAATGACCAGTCTAGGAGATGTGTCAGGGATCGCGGCGACAAGCGGGTCTGCGCATGCGCAGAACGCCAATCCATACTAGCCGGCGGGCACTAGGACCTGGGCGGTGGCAGCCGTGCATGCGCACTCGCGATCACGGACGCTCGCCTGGCACCAATGACAGGGCAGGGCGCACTATTTAAACCTGCCCTGCACAGACTCTCATTGCCGTATGGTCTATTTATCCTGTGTTCCTGTATACCTGCTATTGAGATTTGTTGCTGACCCTGCCTGATCCTGACCTCTGCTGACTTTTCCTGCTCTGACCCCCTGGCTCATTTGACCTCTCTCCTGGATATCCCTAATCTGATCTGAACCCCTGTTACCGACCCGAGTAAGGGACCTGACTACTCTTCTGCCTGCTGCCTTGTACTACGCTGACCCCACTGTTACCGACCCGGCCCGTTTCACCATGCTCACTACTCTGCCATCCATCCTGCACGGATCCAGCCATTCCTGCTCCAGCCTTCCGCCTCTTCACGTCAGGCTCTCTACCTGCATATACCTCTGGCGGATCCCTCTACCACAGGCAGGGGCCGCGACCTGGTCCCTGTCTGCTCCAAGTCCATCCCCACCATCAGGGGCCCTGGTGAACAAGCAGACTGGGGCTTAGACTCCGCGCTCTGGGGAATCCTGTCCTGTGGACTGCTAGAGGTACCGCCAGGTGGTTGCTGACAGAGCCATACGGCCATGACGGAGCCTGGAAGAGGGCCATCCCCACTGGAAGACATATGTCAGCATCTGGCGGCACTAACGCAAGCCGTCAAAACGCTGCAGGAGGGTTACACACACCTCGAAAGCCGGATTCAGACATTGGCCGCACCAGCGGCTCCATCCCAGAGCTCGGGTTCTCCCTCTGCAGCCGGAGAACCTTCAGAACCCTCCGCCCGAGCAGTAGTCACGTTGCCTCCACCGGAACCTCGCGTACCTTTGCCGGAACGCTTCAACGGGGATCGAGCTAAATTCAGGGCCTTCCAGAACGCCTGCCAGCTGTACTTTAGCCTGCAGCCCTGGACATTTTCTACTGAATCGGTGAAAGTGGGGTTCATCGTCTCCTTACTCCAGGATGAGCCCCAGGGCTGGGCTGACCGGCTAATGGAGACCCACGATCCCCACCTGGAGACCGTGACCGACTTCTTCAATGCGATGGCAGTCCTATATGACGATCCGCAGCGGGCAGCATCCGCAGAATCGGCCCTGTACTCCCTCCGGCAGGGCCGTGGGCAGCGGAAGAGTATGCATCTGAGTTCAGACGCTGGATGGGGGACACCCGGTGGAATGATGCCGCACTACGCCACCAGTCCGCATAAGGGAGGGGGACAAGTGGAAGACCACATTTCGCACGAGATTTGGGCACTTTGAGTACCTTGTTATGCCCTTCGGACTGTGCAATGCCCCAGCCACATTCCAACATTTTATTAATGACGTATTCAGAGATTACCTGGACATTTTTGTGGTCATTTACTTGGACGACATTTTGATCTTCTCCTCTTCTTATGGAAAACCATAGGGGTCATGTCAAAAGTGTGTTGGAACGTTTACACCAACACTGGTTGTATGCTAAAGCTGACAAATACAGCTTCGAGCAGCACAGCATTGCTTTCTTGGGGTTGATCATCTCCACCATGGGGGTTGCAATGGATCCCCAAAAGGTCTCGGCAATTTTAGAATGGCCAGTACCCACGGACAAGAAGGGTGTGCAACGATTCATAGGGTTTGCAAACTTTTACAGAAAGTTTATCAAGAACTTTTCGGGCCTTGTGTCTCCCATTACCCAACTCACCAAGCAGGGGACCCGTTTCCGGTGGACCCCCGAGGCTCAAGCGGCATTTGAAACCTTGAAGGAGCTGTTTACTACTGCCCCTATCCTTAGTCATCCTGACTCCTCTCTGCCTTACATTCTTGAAGTTGATGCTTCGGAGAACGCAGTGGGGGCCATCCTGTCCCAGAGGAAAGGTACCAAAGAACTTATGCATCCAGTGGCATTTTTCTCAAGAAAACTTACATCAGCGGAGAGAAATTATGACATTGGAGACCGGGAACTTCTAGCTATCAAAACAGCACTGGAAGAGTGGAGGTATCTGCTGGAAGGGGCCACACATCCAATCTTGATTTATACAGACCACAAGAATCTGGAATACTTGTGGACAGCCAAACGCCTGAGACCACGCCAAGCAAGATGGGCACTCTTCTTCTCCCGATTTGTGTTCCACATTACTTATAGACCCGGGTCCAAGCTCTCTCATGCTTGTTTGAGGACCCAGAAGAAGTCCCTAAACCAGACACTATCCTGTCCACAGGAAACTTTCTCGCCCTCCAAACGGAACTACGCTCCAGGCTACAGACCGCATCCATAGGAATGCCAAGCCCACCCGGGTTTCTCTACAGAGCAAGGAGGGTCTCTTTTGGAAAGAAGGGCAAATTGTGGTTACCGAGGAGGTCCGAACCTTAGTTCTGGGGCACTGCCATGATCATCCACTAGCAGGCCATTTTGGAATCGCAGAGACTCTAGAGTTACTCCAGCGTACGTTCTGGTGGCAAACATGGCTAAAGATTGTGAACTATACGTGAAGACCTGCGCCACGTGTCAAAGGAATAAGCCCACCAGAAGTAAGGCCTGGGGTTTACTACGACCATTGCCCATACTGGATCAGCCGTGGCAGATGATCTCCATGGATTTTATAGTGGAGCGCCCACTATCTCAAAACCATTCAGCGATTTTCGCAATCGTGGATCGTTTGTCAAAGATGTCCCATTTTCTGCCACTAAAGAATACGCCCTCAGCTATGGAAACGGCACAGATCTCCGTGAAGGAAGTGGTGAAGCTCTATGGAATTCCAGAAGATATTGTCTCGGACCGGGGGGTCCAATTTACGTCAAAAGTCTGGAGAGCATTATGCGAGGTTCTGGGAATCAAGCTGTCCCTCTCATCTGCCTACCACCCACAGACAAATGGGCAGATGGAACAGACGAACTAGACCTTGGAACAGTACTTGAGATGTTATACATCTTTTCTCCAGGACGACTGGCTGGTGCTCTTGCCATTGGCTGAATTCGCGTACAATAACGCGAATCATTCTGCTACGGGGCAGTCCCCATTTTTTGCCAATTACGGATTTCACCCCACATTTTTACCTGACCTGATCCCTGAAAGCCCAGTTCCTGCTACACAAAATATGCTGGATTTTTTTTCTACCAATAACAAGGCACTTCAAGAAGCCATTGCAAAGGTCCAGGAGGACAGTAAAAGGGCCTTCGACAGGAGAAGAAGAGGCGAGCTAAGCCTGCAACTGGGAGACCAGGTCTGGCTAGCTACTACCAATTTGAGGATGTCTTGTCCCTCGAAAAAGTTGGGGCCGAAATGTATGGGCCATTCTGGCTAAAACGGAAGATCAATGAGGTGGCGTATGAACTGGCATTCCCAGGAACCTTCAAGATTCACCCAGTTTTTCACGTGTCGTTACTGAAGCCAGCAATGCCAGATCCTTTCCCGGACCTAAGGTCCAGACCTTCGGAGGCTATAACCATTAAGAATTTGAGGTTGAAGTAATCATAGATTGCAGGAAAAGAGGCGGCCAGACACAGTTCCTGATTAAGTGGAAGGGCTATGGCCCTGAGGAGAGTTCATGGGAGCCAGCCCAAAATGTTCACACCCCTAGACTTGTCCGGGAATTCTATCGTAACCACCCACGGAGGAGAGATTGGTTGGGCATCCGGAGGATGCCCGTGGGGGGGGGCAATGTCAGGGATCGCAGCGACAAGCGGGTCTGCGCATGCGCAGAACGCCGATCCATACTAGCCGGCGGGCAATAGGACCTGGGCAGCGGCGACCGCGCATGCGCACTCACGGATGCTTGCCTGGCACCAATGACAGGGCAGGGCGCACTATTTAAACCTGCCCTGCACAGACTCTCATTGCCGTATGGTCTATTTATCCTGTG